TATATATATATATATATATATATATATACATTGAGCCTCTTATTCTGCATTTTGCATTTATTTTGGATTAATACCTCTTATTTTTTTTAATTTAGAATTGATTTGTTATTTGTTATCCAAATATCAAGCATCCGATATACGATTAATAATACATTTTATTTAGTCAGAGTATTATATGAAGAAAAAAAAATAATTTCATAAAATATTTTAGTTACTTATATAATTAAATAATTTTTAATAGATAGCTGATTAAATATTTTATATATCATAATAGAATACAGAATATTATAGATAATTTGTATTTATAAACAATAATAATAAAAATAAATGGTATGTATAATGTCATTTAAATTAATTATCTTTATTATTTAATTATTTATATTGTTCCAGGTGCGTAGTGTACTCCATTGTTTATTAAAAAAAAAAAAAAACAAGCAAATATCTTTAATTTTCAAGATATTTGTAAATTTTAATACACATCAAATGATTTAGGAAATTCCATGTTACTATTAAAATGATTAATTATAGATAATTATGTTTCAATCAACAATTATATATATATATATATATATATATACATATGTGTGTGTGTGTGCGCGCGCGCGCGCGTGGGCATGTGTCAAGAAAATCATATTATATAATATCATAAATTTTAATAATCAAGGTTACAGTTCATTTGTACTTTTTTCAACGTGAATTTATTTAAGTAATTTGTATATTCCATTTTAAAAAGATTTTTTTTTAATTTTGTACATTGTTTAAAAAAATAATATTATTTATTTAAATATCCTTCTAACAAATCTCCATTGGCTCCAATAAAATTGCAGACAATGGTTACTAATAAAATACAAACTTGAAATATGAAAAACCATGATAATCAAATAAAGTCAATATGATATATGGAAATGTGTCATACTAAAATATCTTTGAATAAGCAAGATAGATCGAATTATCACGGAGAAGGAAAAGACATTGAAGACACGTGGCTGCTCATCGTGGCGCACTTATTGGCAGTAAAGTTAGTATCTTAAAATAGTAATATTTGAAAAGCAATAAAATTAATAGCATTTTAAGATACGTTAGTACACATAATCAGACATTGAGTATACAATGGTGATTTCCGCACTTATTTACATTGTGAACGCAGATATTAACGTATGAGATTAAAGAAGAAAAAAGATAAATTGCGGTAAAAATCTTCAGAAATCCTTTATCAAATATGAAAAATAAAGCTAAGTAAATAGCCTTATTTATAAAACTCAGGTATTATTTCTGTCATTTGTAAAGCAATATTTTTATAAATCTTTAATTAAATTTGATATAAAATCCTTCAACGTCTTTTATTTAAAATAAACAAATGTTGTTTTACTTTTTAAAAGCTGGAAATTCATAAAGCCAAAATTTATTTCAATAATTGCTAAATAATTTTCAAATGAATAATTTTGATTAATTAGAAATCTTAAATTTCACAGTTTCTGCATAAATTATTACTAATTCATTAAGAAAAATATTTTGCTGTTATCGTTAACATTACGATTTCAAGTATAGAAATATTCAAATGCATTATTTTATCGTCATAATACTGTTAACTTTTCACGTTATAAATGATTAATGGTAGGTTCTTGTAACTTATAACTTTCAATTTATTTTAACTAATATTATCAATTTTTGGTTTGTACAAATATATTTAATGTATTAATTATTTAAGTTTATATTGTTTTAAAATTTAATTACAAAAAATATAATTGAACAAATCAAACATAGAATTAAATTTATCAAGCTTTTAAAATATTTTTATATGATAAATGTCTAATTCAACAAAATTAATCGTTAAATTAATTGAAGCTCATCTATCAACGGTATTGGTTGAACTAGTAGTCTAGGTTAATAAAAATTAATTTTTCAAAACGTAACGATATTAATATAACAATTGGACCTAGAAATGAGTTATATTTATGTCCAATACATTAAAAATTTATATAAATCTTTAAATACACAGCCTTGACGATTAAACTAAATATAATTAAACATTTATTTATTTGTAATTTAAATTTAATTTGAATTGATCAAATATATTTACTTCCATGTTAAGTGTGTGTGTGTTTGTGTGCGTGTGCGTGTGTATGTGTGTGCGTGCGTGCGTGTGTGTGTGTGTGTGTCAATATATATGTATAAATATAGATATCAATATGAATTGCTTATTTCATTTGAAATTTTTAAAATATGTATAAATGTAATATTAGTTAATATAAAAATTAGTTAATAAAATACAAAGCTTTAAATACGCATTAGACAATAGTTTTACAATTTATAATATTATTTTGATTGATATTAAATTAAAATTTATTTTAATATAGAACTAAGGTATTTATTAAATATATCATGATATTCAAATATATATACAAAAATTAAATGACATTACATTTTTAAATATAATAAATATTAAATATTGAATAGAATTTAATATGTATTAGTTGTATACATTTATTTATAACGTATATATACGTTAATAATATAACTATATATATATATAATATATATATATATATATATATATATATACAATATATACAATATATATATATATATATATATATATAGGAAATGCTAAAATTTTGAGATAGGATTAAATGATTTAATTAACATTTATAAATGCAGATATTTTACTCTACATATATATTTTTATTCTTCGTTAAATAATTAATTTTTTATTACAATGAATTATCTAAAATTAAATATTTACATAATATTTTTTGGAGTTGTTAAGTATATATGATAAACTGCTAAAGATATAAATTTGTACATAAAATATTAAATGGACAGATAATAGTTAAATTGAAAGTTTTTATAAAAAAAAGTCTAGGAAATTTATTATTTTATTAATTAATATTATTTATGAATCTTCTGATTTAAACAATGAACTTAGTGAAGGGTTAACATTGAATGTAAAATTTAAAATATATAGTATCTATTTTTAATTGTAATAATTTGATTTAATCAATATTACATTCAACAACACAAGCATTTCCTTAGAATCAGAGTTTTATTTTTAGCATCAACATTCAATAATAAAATAATAAACTTTTATTTTAGGATAGATCCATAAATACCTTGATTAATACCAACTTTGATAATATCGTGACATAATAAAAAAAAGTCGAACAAGAGACATAAGAAATAAAACATAGTGACATAGTCACAGGTATTATTCTCAATACAAGATGATATAAGAAAAATGTATTCTATTGAGAAAAATAATCAGGAATAATTAATCGGATGAACTTTTACAGATTTCGAGTTAAATATAGATAATGCTGGATTAAAAATATACTTAATTTTAAGCAAAAAAATTTTTTTAAGCATATTCTATTAGTCAAACGTAAAATAAAAGATTATGTTATTATCTATAATGGAATAATTATTTTTTGTGAAACTTTTTTAACCAATAAAAATAAAATTTATTTACAAATAAATTAAATAAATTTATTAAAATTATAAGTAAAATTTACAACAATTTACGAAAAATATACTATTAAGAATTAGATACTAATTAGATATATAACATGAAATAAGATTATAAATTATTGAATATCACACATTAAAATTATATGACAATAAATTTATGAATTCGTTATTTAATTATTACTTACAACAATCATATTATAATAATTTTTAAATAGTTAAAATAATATTATATTCGTATGGATGAATAAATGACTATTTTATATAATTTATTATTATAAAATGTAGCCTTTCAGATGTATCGTTTTTTATTTCGTTAATAAGAATGTCAAGTAAATAAACGAAAGAATAATAATCCTAATTATAGAAAAATATCATGTTTGGTTGCGTAAAATTGTAATAATTTATTATTCCTCAAACTTTATATTCATTTCAGTAAATCTAAAATATATTTATGAATACGAAAATTAATTGATTATTGTATAATGATGTTGTATAAAGTTTTAATATATATACATAGTTTAATATTACAAATTCAATTAGTAAACATAAGTAATTATTTTGAAATTTTATTTGTATTTATATTCAAGTTCGAATATTAAAATTTTGACAATATAAACACTTTCATGTACGAGAAAGCAACAGATCAGTAACATACACATAGATTCTAAGCTGATTTAGTATACAATACCTTATACATCACACTATATGTTATCTCACATTTTATATAAAGTAAAAAGAGGCTCAAATGCATATGAAGAAAATAACGAAGGCGAATGAACGCATTATCACAATCGAAGATATGAATTTTTCCACGTTATATATATATATATATATATATATATATATATATGCATATGTATAGGTATATGTATATAATAACTATTTCATATTAATTTTATATTATAATATAATTCCAATTTGTAAATCATTGCATTGTTGTTGTAAATTCTGTAGGAGCATTTGATTGAATTTATATTACACATATTATAAAATACCTATTGCGAAATAGTAACAATAACGAAAACAGCAGAATAATAAAAATATATCTTATATCTCTTATATCTCTTAAATAAAAGAGCGCGCAATAAAATTAAATTAATATTTATCAATCAAGAAAATCAATACCATTGGTACTTATTTTGTATTAAAATTTTAGTACTTTCATTTTTTCATATACAAAAATTTTAATTCTCTCAAATTATTACTTTACTAATCAATATCTTTTTATCATTTCGTGTTTAATAATTTTAATGATCATCAATGGCATGTTTCATAGTATAAAAATGTGCATTGCATTATTTATTACAATTTCTTATCTATTTATCATCACTACTAATTCGTTATACACGTTTTTTATTTCATTTTATTGTATTTAATATTTTAACCGTAAGACTAGCAATATTAGCCAAAAAATAATTGAAATTCTTCATTATATTGTTCGAGTTAAAGTTCATTTTCATATCAGTGAATATTTTATTCTGCGTTTATCAAATCATAATTATTATTTACTGATTTATGAATTTCGATGTTTTATTCACTGAGAGACATAAAAATTATAAATCAAATCTTCATTATTAACATGTATTTATAAGAAAAATTAAAATAAAAACTATCCCTAATAAAACCATAAATAACATTCAATGATTTTATAATCCCTAATTAGTATATAAGGCTGTAATTATGCGCCTATGAGCGGAGCAATTATTTTACATTATACACTAACGAGTCAAAAAGTTTATTGACACGAATGTACTTCTCACAGAGGAAATTTTTACATTATCTTGAAAATGTCGGTGGGGAAAGTCTATGTACTGAAGGAGCAGAAGATAGAAGAAGATGCTCTTAGATAAAAAAAAAAAAAACATTGTGTAGTATACAAAGTTTTCAAAGCGAAGATAACGTTGTTACGACTACATAACGAGCTGCCCTCGGTTCAATCGACTCAATTAAGTCTATGAGTTTCGTATTGCGTGTTGCTCAGCTTTCGTGAAACGGGTCATCATAGGTTAGATTTTCAGGTTAGTAGGTACATGCTACTGTGTGCAAAGTTCTGACAATTGATTAGAAATTATTTGATGAATTAATTGCTTACCAGTGAGAATATGGAGAAAGTGCCAAATTTTATTCAAGGATTGCAAGAAGTTTCCACGGAGGAGGTGAATATATATTACATTTTATCATAAAAAAAATTTAATACAATTACTTTGGATGTACATAAATAATTATTGACAATTGCACAATTAAATTCACACACACACACACACACACACACATATATATATATATATATATATATATATATATATATATATATATATATATAATGCAAATAATTTTTATATAAAAATACATTATAACATTAAATTCATATTTTACGTCATGATGGATATTCTTAGTCTAATATATCGTATAATACTTATTATTATGTAAATTAAATAGTTTTATAATAGTATTAGTTAAAATACTGATTTTGTCAGTATATAGTAACTATATCCGTTACATTAATTTTTATTGTTTACCAACATAAAGTACTATTTGCTTCTAAAATAATTGAAATCAACTTTAATTAGTGAATATGGATTTGCTATATTAATAAAGCAGAGGATCAGTTTATTAAGTATTTCAAACTTAATAATTGTAACAATCAAAAGATACCTTGTTAGAATGAATATAAATGTAATTAAAAATTAACCACTAAGAGCAAGAACAAAGTAATAAAGTACCTAATTTATTAGTCAAATATTGCCTACAATATTGAGTAACGTATTCATTTATTTATATATTATAACTTATATATTATAAATAATACAAATTGTTTATTAGTTATAACTGAAACGTAATCCTTTAATAGATTTAGAATTATAAATTTATCCATTTCACCGAAATTATTGTGTGATTTCAATTTTTCGGACTAGTGGTATCATTCAAATGACTCAAACAAAAAATCATTCTATATAATGTTTCTTCGAATGTAATGTAAATTTATAGGCTTTTTAAAATCTATTTTAAGTTTATAAGATTGTTTTATAATTCATTTACCTAAATAAAATAGTTAAATAAGCGACATAAATTATCAATGGTTAATGCATCTGATTATTTAAAATGATATTTTTGACGAAATACTGTAGTTATTTAATTTAAATAGTCTAGTGAACCATAATATAAGATTTCCATTACATACTATTTATATTTACTATAAAAATAATTAAAATGAGAAATACACGAAAGTTAGATAAACTTTACAGTTAAAGGCCGTGTTTGGCCTTGGAAGTTTTTTTTTGTTTTTGTTTTTGTTTTTTTTTTTTTTTACATTATGCATAGCACGGTACGACTGCACATTACGTACGATGTATCGCTATTATGACGACAAAATACATATGTTTTGAAACATGTAAGCGTTGCGCGTTTCTTCGTGATTTTATGAACTCTATACATCCGCTCACGCGACAACACGATGTGACGATTTTATCAAAACAAACAGATGATAAAGCAGTTCATTGTACAATATAAAACTAGTTTAAAGATGGAGCAAATCCATATTTTATTGAATTTGTTTTGATCGCGTTATTCGTTTTATTAGATAAGGATAAACTTTCGATTCTTCATTAAAAATATAATAGAACACGAGAATTATTGACAAGTGAAGATTAATAATCTATATTTCAGTGACTTATATTATTAATACTACATAACGATTGATTGTAATGTTATAATGTTAATATTTATATGTATGTTATTTTTATAATATTATTATGAAATTTATATCTTAATGTTATTATTATTATTCTTATCATTATATCACATATAATGTTAGTTATACAATTTATCTTAAATACAACGAATGTAATCTAGCCTTCCTTTATATTAATTTTAGAGTGGCGGAAAAATACTTTTTGCAACGGATGATTTTTTTGGAGTCGCCGAAAATTTATTAAAGGTAAATCTTTTGTCATTCTATATATTGATGTAAAAATTTAAGAACTTTTTTTTAACTCGTATTATAGCGTTAATTTTAAACACGCTTTTTGTTGCTAAAATAACAAATTTATGCATGTGCGTGTTATATTATAGTTTATATAAAAAATATATAAAATATAGCTTTAACATTTATTTACAAAAATATGTTTCATACACATTATAATTTTATCATTATATTTATTATTTATTTACATTTATGTATTACGTAGAAAATGTACTATTGTAAAATTCTATTATTAACGAAGGACTTTCTTATCGCTAATAATGTGTCATACTTTATTTCGTATCCTATTTAACCTTATTTTTTCTTCTATGTAATAGAAAAGCATTATGTTTCCTGATTAACGTAAGAATTGAAATTTATCTGACATGCTTATTTTGATGAAAGTGTAATCTAACTATGACTTACACTTTTCAAACAAAGCAGTGGAAAGTTTGTTTGATTTGCCAATATTTCACAGATGATAATGATCATTTGTTTTCTTAATTATAGCTATATTATCTCTCAATCTAAGTAAGAATATTATTGATTTAAATAAGCAAAATATAGTGTAAACAAGACTAGTAAAACAATTAAAGTATCCTGAGATTAGATTGTCGTTAAAATTAGACAATTACTTTTATTTTTAAGTGCCTCCTTACGTACTTCAAATACCTAACAATACATATATAAATATATATGACAACGAAATTTTCATTCGCGCTTCTATTTGCGATATTTCTAAGCGAAGGCTCCGCAAAAGATTCACATCATTATAAGACGACAGCACGAATTAGCACGAATTAGCACAAATACGAGATTTTGCCCCTGCATAAAGTGACGCGTATTCCTATTTCAGACGAACGAGCCGTTATGGAATGACGAGTACACGGAATTTGGGAAATGGATGGACGGGTGGGAAACTCGTAGGAAAAGAATCGCTGGCCACGACTGGGCGATAATAGCCTTGGGTGATCAGAGCAACATTCGCGGCATCTGCGTCGACACGGCATTTTTTACAGGAAATTACGCGCCAAGATTCTCTTTGCAAGGAGTTTGCTTAAGTCATGGTAATGCAGTTAGTTACAAGTACATTTTTCTCTTGTTTCTTTCTCTGTGAGAATCCGCGTTTTCGGCACCATTCGCCTATTATATTCCCTTTCAAAGTGGACGGACATGTGTGCACGGCATTTCCATAAGGCATAAGCGAAGGCTTGATAATGGTACGCGATGTGCAATATTTTGAAATCCATGGATGTTTGTAATGAGTTTGCGTAAAGTAAATCGCAGCCACGCGTCCGTTTCATTGTGAATCTGAACTTTCAATTAAAATAACGCGTACTAAAAGCTATATATCACAATGACTTTGTCATTGGAAATAATGAGCCGTTACTCAATGAAAAGTAGTAAATCACGATCAAGTTTTAAAAAATATTGAACTGAGCAGTATGATTTATGACTGATACGAGCCGTCTAGACTTGATTAAGAAATATGAAACGCCAAATACAATGATTGATAATTTTCAGTTGAAGGAATTCAAAATCGTAGAAATCGAATGGGAACAGCCGCGGACAACAAGGAGCTGGAAAAAGTGTCGGAGCTGGACTCGGAGGTAAATATTCATTAAATTATTAAAAATATTAAGGATGAAATTTCCTACATAACAATAAATACTTTTTTAATTTTTTGTATTTCATTAATCGAATATATGAAATAATCATTTATTTAATTTATTTCATATTTTTAATTGTACACGTATATCATTATATATAGTCAGTAAATATAATATCGTACAAACGATATCTGTAAAAAAGCATTATTTTTCTTGTCTTTATCACAGCTACTAATTATAAATAAAGCAAGTACTTATGTAAACCAAATCTAAATTATACTGATTTATATACAAGTTTCATAATAAAAGCTCCGATAATTATTCTTTTATTTATTTTTAATTCCACGGTAGACTTACGTATTAAAATAAGTGGCTTTAATAATCTTACTATAATTGATATTTATTCGATGTATTTTTAAACTCGTAATAATCAAATAAACAAAGATAAAACCCTTCATATTTATTGTACCACAATATTATTATCGACAAAACGATATAAAATTGTATGTTATGATGTTGGGTACAATAATTTAAATAAAGCTTCAGTTTGCAAATCAATTAATTTTTGGATAACCAACTACTCTTATTCATCGTGTTTTTCTTAATTATATTAATTATAATTCATTGTTTATCTTGCTCATCTAATAACAATGGCGCGTGGATGGTAGCCATCAACGTACCATCGTTCATTTGCCTCGTGAAAGTAATAATTTACTGATTATTTTGCTCTAAGAATTGGGAAACGTTAATGCCAATGACAACGTTGAAAAGTGGCAAACCAGAGACTCGAAAGCACTACTTTGAACTAAGGATCGGCAAACAAACTTTTACTCATTTGCGCTTCAACATCTTCCCTGACGGCGGAGTCGCACGACTGCGCATCTACGGAAAGACCTTGAAGTCATCGCTAATAACTGGCTTGGAAGTAATGAAACAGCTACACGGCAAGTGCATTGAGTTCAGCAATGCGCATTACGGACACCCAGACGCTTTACTAAGTTCATGGCCGTCCAAAGGCATGTACGACGCCTGGGAAACAGCAAGGAGATTGGACCGGCCGCCGAAGATCGACGTAGACGCTTCGGGATTCATGCAGGTAACAACCCGACAGTATGATTCATTTATTTTTCTGATTGCCGACTAGGGAACGAGTGCTTGAAGGGTCAATTTTATACAAAGTAAGTTTGGACTGAATTTATGAGAGAACGCATTTGTTAATATCGTAATGGTGCTTTTGGAGATTGAAAATGTTTAAAATTACAATACTTATAAAAGCTTTAATTTATTATTTTTAAAGTTCCTCGGGCTATATAAGACATCGTCAGTCTTATTCATGTGCTCTTAAGCTCTTTCTCAAATTGATTCCAGTTATTTGCATATCGTAGAGAAAGCCATTAACAGAAAATACACTTAGTTGATGTAGACAGCCATTTTCCACATCAATGACGAAAACATTAATTACTGTCTGCTTTCATAATGGTTTTATTTTATATTTTCAAGTAAAAATTACCATCATAGAACATTATTCCAATACAAAGTTCTAAAGCTCAACCGTAATTATATCATCTTAAATCCATTTTCTACTCATAAATGAATACATTAAGATTAAACGATGCATGTTACGGTTATTCTAGAACTCCTTGTTTCTACTGTTGTTAAATTATTTTGTCTTCAATTACTCGTCATTTTAATGACTAATCATTTACCGATAAACTCAAAGTTTCCATATATTAATATTTATGGTTATTAACATACAGCAAAAATACAGGCGAAAAATTATATATTAAAATAAAATTACTGCATTAATAACCATTGGGAAATAAAAAAAAAATTTTAGACTTAGTTAAATGACAATAATTTATTAATATATATATATATTTTTTTTTTAATAACAATGCATTATACGCTACATTCTGCTACTCATTTTTACACTTCTTAATGCACATTTAATATTCTCGAAAAGACGCATTAAACGAAAAATACTTGAATTTCCATGTACAATGATAAATTCATTAGTCAGTGAATATTTTGAAAATAAAATAATCAATTATTGTTATCTTTATTGCACCATAAAGACAATATAAAATTTCCTACAATTTAAAATATACTCATTTTTGTACTTTGTTCCTTTTTTTTTTTTTTTTAATATACAATTGTAACTAAAAGAAAAAATTGTAAAAATTATTTATAAAAACTAAAATGCTAGCATTATAAACATGGAAATATATATTCAAATGAAATTTCTCAATATTTTTGATACGCTAAGCCTAACAATACAAGTATTAATTTAATTATATTACAGTTTTTTTTCTATAAGTAAACATAAAAAATATCGGTTTGTAGCATTGTATAGTGAAACGTATAAACACAAGTTATAAACTAAAAGCTTTTAAAAATTATATAAATTCAAATACAATGATAAAACGAATATTATAAAAAATATGATAAAATTACGATTAATGTAATATATATTTATATATATATATATATATATATATATTTTTTTTTATTTACAAATGTAATTACTATTTAAATCAGTATTTTTCTAAGAAGTAATCTAATACTAACGCAAGTAATTAAATATATTTAATAATTACATATGAATGAGATTGAATTCTGGATGAATGTTGGAATATAAGATATACTGTAAAATTAATATCTTATATTATAAATATCAGGAGCAAAATTTAGTATACAATAATTCAAATAAAAAATGAGAGTGCAACATAAATAGGTAAATCTGTCGTAAAAAAATGCTACTTTCAAGAATGTTGTAATCGTCATAACATACCTCTGTTAACTATAATTATAATGTGTAAATAGGTTGTAATTACTAAAAAATAGTCATGGCTGCTCTGAGTACTTTAAGACATAAGAGAGAGATTTCAAAACTTAAATTATAATTCACTTAAAGTTTGTATATAAACTATTTTAATTGCGTTGACTAAAGATCAATAGCTATATATTTTTTAGTATTATATATATATATTTCTGAAATTGTAACTATAGTAAAAAAAAAATATTCAGGACAATTAATGCATGTATTCATTAAAGTAATAAAATTCTGATAAAAAATAATTTAAAAATATAAATATTATAAAAGATATAAGTTATAAAATATAACTGTAAGTATGATTGAGAGATATAAATATTTAGAAGAACAATAAAATTTGTATGTACAAAATATACTTAAAAGTAATGAAAAATAAGTAGGTAAAAAGTAATTAATATTTTATCTATTGATATCTATAAGGATTCATGCTTGGTTTAAAAAATTATTAGTAACAAATCCTTAAGACTGCATAATGTCGTAAGGAAATCGATCCAAAAATGAATAATTGAAGAAATTAATTGTAATGTATATATATTCCTCGATTTTATATGTATTATGTCGAAAAGTACTTATGATTGAATGAATACAGATATACGATTATAAAATTTTCTTCAAATTATGAAAACATTTCTTAAGAAAATATTTAAAGCTTATAAAAGTTTTCTCTTTAGTTAATTAAATAAGAAAATATATAAATTATGACGAAGTCTTATAACTTATACAGTTATTGTAAAACAAAGTATCTACGCTTTAAATTCAAGTAATTATTATGTCTATGAAAATTTAAAAATATTCATATCAATCTTACAAATAAAAGCCCAACTATTAAATAGTATCATTACAAGGGAATATATCATAATGATAATCTTATTTATATCCACAGTTTAACGGCGAAGAGTGGGCGATATTTCAGTTGGAGAAAGCTGCATTTGTTAATCTCGTGGAAGTTGATACAACGCATTTCAAGGGTAACTGCCCCGACAATGTAAAAATCGAAGGAGCTTACGTCGATTTCGATGAAAATTTGAAATCAGCTACTTGGGACACAATTTTAAATCGAACCAAGGTAAATAATAATCAAATTATCAGTGATGTTGCGTAACTGCGATTATAATTTTCGCAATTTTCTTTTAACAATACTATAAAATTATATATTTATAAATTCATCTTTCAAAAATTCTGTTGGAAAATTTAAAATTATCTTAATTATGATCGATATATTTTTAAATGAACGCAGAAGAATTAATTGATTATCAATATTTTTGCAGCTAATGCCAAATAAAAGGAATGGATTAAAAGATCCTTTCATCGAAGTGATTAACAAACCAATTAATCACTTGAAAATTGTAATAGCACCTGACGGTGGTCTTGCGAGAATAAGAATTTATGGCACCGACTGGAATTTATGTAAAAGAAAAAAAAATTTCAGCGAAAAAGAAAGAATCAGCAGCGTACAAGATTGGGTAGAAACTCCTCAAAATGGCAATTTTCTAAATTTTATCAACGCATCGCCAATTTATTAACTTTAGACAATCCATGACAACGAGTATATTTTTATTTAATTTTTTATAATTTTATGTTTAAGAAAACTTAGCTACTATTTTATGCGTTACAGTGTTGGTTTTTTTTTTTTTCAAAGTAGCATTTTCAATGTATAATTAATATGAAGAATATGCTTACTTTGACCCATAAAGTATTAATTAAGTATGTATGTTTTTGTATTTAACTATGTGAAAAAGTATGCAAAACATTTAATTTAGAATAATGCTTATGAATTGTTAATTGCTACGTCACAAAGCATTAAGTATAATGAATAATATTAGCGAGATAAATTTGTGCAACCTTTAAAAATATTGATGTGTGCGTATATATTATGAAATCAATTAGATTATTATTAAAGCAACTAAAGAATTAAATTAAAAAAAAAAACTGTATATTGTCCATAAAATGTTATTAATTTTTATAATTAAAAAAATTAAACATTATAATTAACTTGTGTAAAGGTGAAATTATGATGCTAGTCTGAAAAAAAACTAGCGTACAAGGACGTGAATACCATTCGTTAGTTGTAAAAAAAATTGCAAATGAAAGTCTTAAACATCACAATGTTAATTTTAATTGGCGCTTACGATTGAGTAATGCCCACCAACGTCTCGATTATCCACCTCTATTAAATCTACAAAAAAAGAAAATAAATAAGAGAAATGTACGCGATAATAAATAATACATGTGATGACAAAAGTTGATATGTAATTATATTATTTTACATTTATATATTTTAAGTAAACTTGAATTTTTGTATGATTTGTATGAAAAGCAAAATTCAAATATCGTCGAATAAAAATGTCTGATATTATGCATTATGTTTATTTCTTAACGAAGCTAATTAGATAAAGTAAAATATAAGAAATAATTTAAAAATTTTTATTTTATGATTAACAAATTATTATATCGCTTGCTTTAATTGTAGTTTGAATCGTTTTTTTTTTTTTTTTTTTTTTTTTTTTTTTTTTTTTAATACATTAAATTGCAATCTCTAATAGACCATCAAAATTCTAACTATTTCCGACTAACTAATGTAACTATTATTGTTAAATTAAAAGTATATTTTTCTATGATTAATAAAAACTAAATATTATTAAGTATAAACTAGATATGTATTTACAGCTTACGTGAAAATACAATTATTTAAACAAACTAGGTTTCTTGACTTTTTTTTACTATAAAAATATATCTTTATAAGTCTCATTGGGAAAATCAACACATGACTATAGCAATAAATATATACTAAAATTGAAATTGCCTAAATAAAATTTTCTAATATATATATATGAGTTTTATTATTAATATAAATATTGTACTGTCGACAGTAACAAACGATAAAATTATATTTAATCTATTTGTTTTATTTAATCTATTTTTGCAAGAATTTACTCAACCTAATATTAGTTCGTATAATTTAGGGTCCGATGAAAAATATATTTAATCTTAGTCTTGCTGTGTTTATTTTAATGGATTAAAAAAAAAAAAAAAAAAAAAAAAAAAAAAAATTGTTGATGATGGTAATCGATTAATAATTCAAATGGTCAGTGGAGCTGAAACATTAATAGTTTAAGTCATCGTTTAAATTGCTCAACTGCGTTATTACCACGATTGTTTATGTTTGTTAAATCGTCGTGCATGTTAACGCATTTGAAATATTCTCTGCACGAAAGAAGCAATTCCGCAGTTTTTTCGTTCATTAACTAATCGATGACTTTAGCAAAGACGTAAAAATGGGCCACGCTGAGTTTTACACGAGAAGTACAACATTCGTGACCGCAAACACAAAGGCAACGACACCAATGTCGTCCGGGAGGAGCGTGAAAGCGGTGCCGTGGCGTGGAAAGGATTAGCTTCTCCACTGTTGATAAAACAGATTCCGTGCATTTTATTTATTTACGTATGTATGCACATTATCATAAAAGAAGGTCTAGTAGTGTGGATATACTAATTGACAATCAATCTACAATGTCATACGATCATGAAATTCTTATTTATTTATAACAAATATATGTTTTTATGTGCACTTATTTTGTTTTGTAATTATCAATATCGTCTTTGTCTCTACTTTAGAGACTATAAGAAATAATAATTATAGTGTGTAAGGTCGAAAAGTAATGACATTTTTTATAATTATGATAGATGGTAACACGAGAAGAAATTATATTACAATGCTTAAGTGATAAGTTATAAAATACCGTTTTACTTTTGTTTCGTAATAAACAAATTATATATTTATATATACATATAATTTTTTTTTATTGTTAATTATTGAATTATTGCCAATAATTAAGTTAATACTCGATTAATTGATCAATCGTAACTAAAATCAAATTTGACACGACATTTTTCAGTCTAATCGAAATATTCATCAAATTAGAGATTAAAGAATAACGTAATTAAATGGAATAAAATTTTTAAAAAGAAGAAACAACTGGTTCAATTTAATGTCTGATAAAAATTAATATTACAAGTATGAGCTATAAAAAAATCAGTTGTGAAATTAATTAAGAAAAAAATTCATTTAAACAGATAATTGATGAAAGTTAAATTCCTCACTTTTCACATAAAATTAAAATGCAATGACTCGTAAAGTATTTCACGATAAAGAAATTTTCGTTCTTCCAATGTGTATGACAATAGTCTTATATAGATTTCTATTGGTTATATAATTCAATTAAAAAATACACCATATGTATATGTAAAAGCCCTTGTGATGTCAATATAAATGACTTTAAAGCAATATTTTATTAAACTTTTATGAATACAAATATATGTAAAGTAATATTCACTGTCATGACGTTTGTAGAAAAAATGCTATAACGTACACAGTCGAGAAAGTCGAAGATTATAGTTCAAAATACATCATAAAAATGATAAAGATTTTTTAATTTTATGAATACGTATTTTATAATATTATTTTTTTAATAGCCATCCATTAATATATAATTTAAAATGTAAAATACATAATTTATAAAAATAAAAGTGTGAGATTTTTATTCAACTTATTAAAAAACAAATCAAGTATCTATAACAATATATCTTGAACAATCGCTTTTTTATTTTTTATTAAAAGTTAAATTAAAAACTTGAATGCGACAATGATAGATATACTTTTTCAATGTCGCTTGATTGTCAATAAATTACAAATAAAATCAGCTTTATTTCCGCATTCTGTGGTATCCGCATATGTTTTGTAGAAAAAATTCTTTTACACTTTTTCATAATATATAATATTTTATATTAGATTCTGATTCCTTTCGCCAACTCATAATAAACTACAATCATCATTCGATAGTTTAATTTAACTTGCAGCGATATTAAAAATAAAACAATTTCAATATCCATTAAACGCTTATTTATGAATTTTTTCGATTAATGATCATGGAAATTCATTACAAATGATAATAATTATAATAATTATAATAAAAAATTATAATAATATTACCGTTGGCATGATAATGATTTTAATATATGAAAAGTGCGATAAAGTACAAATAAAATTATTCGAATAAAAGACTGAAGGTAGCTTGTCGCCACAGTTATACAGTTATAGGGATGACGAGGAAAGAATATACACAGAAAAAAAATAAAGTTAACTAAAGATATATCAAAGCTCAAAATATTTTAAGTAACACACACACAAAGCAGATTGAATATCACGATTTATATGAATTGTCAAGGAATGAGATATGGATAAAAGCAGCGACGATTGCATTGATTATCAAATGACAAGATAAATAATATTTGGTCTTTGCACCGACGGCAAACATACAATCGCTCGGAGCATACATAGGTCGGCATATAAACAAACAAAGATAGATCGAGGCGCGCTCGAAGCCGTGAATCTCACCGAGAGCCATGAGAAAGTAGAGTAGAGAGATGAACGGGGGCTCGGTCGGTAACGTCACGCGCGCTGCTCCCGTAAATCAGGCAAATTGCCCCGTAGCGAGAAGCAAAGAGAGTCGGTAGTCGGTCGAAGTGGCGGTTCGCCAGCGGAGTTGAAACGCACTTTCGTGGGGCCATCGCACGTCTCCGGCTATTAACTTGGCGGCGGTGGGCATAAAACGCAGCAGCAACACGTGAGTGCAGGCCTATCGGGAGGTTCCGTAGGCGCGCGTCGCTTTCCTCTGCTCTCCTCAGTCCGAGTATCACTTTCAGGCGGTTCGGGCGGTCACCTCCGGTATCACGTCGCACGCACGCACCCACCGAGAAACACGGGACGAAGCCTCCTCGCGCGCAAGCAGCGGTGAGTCTGTTACGGAAGGTCTGCTGCAAGGGTCCGGCCGAGGCGCCGCACCTTAACCTTTTTTCTTTTTCTCCAATGGCGAGAGTGGGCTCGGTTTCGGGCGGAAGGTGACTTTTATTGTCGATGCGCAGCTGCTCGCCTTTCTCGTCTGTTGTTTCAGCGATGCTTCGTCGCTCGCTCGCGTTATTTTGCCTCCCGGTGACGCCGATGTGGGAAAGTGCCTCAGCTTTTCAGGAGAAATTGCAGCTCATTGATTAACAATAAGTGGGATGATCGACGAATTTTTGCGATTATCAATATTATTATTTACGTGTTAACTTGCGATGATACATTGCAATTTTTAAGTACATTGCGTTGGAATTATTTAATGATATTAGAAAACCTTCCCCTCCACCCCACCCCCCTCTCACTCTCTCCATCTATCTCTTTCCGTACGTGCTGATTTTCATCCGCGTTAACTTTCTTCTCTTATTCCCATTTCTCAATTTCACGTTTACTATCGATTATCTTTCATACAAATAATAATTGCAAGATACTACGGCAATGTTTCGAATATTTATGTTACGAGGTGAACCTAATTATTGAAAATTCGATGAAAAATAGTCGTTTGGAAATAACAATTCTCAAAGTAAAATAAATATCGTAATTTATAAGTAAAGTAACAATGCAATGTTGTCATTTAAAAAAAAAAAAAGTTATGCAGACAGTTGCAAATACATCGTGCGAATGTAAATATTCCATAGAATTGTTCGAGTGAAAAGAGTATTTTGATAAT